TCCCTTACTTATCATGAGTGTTGCTTGTAGCTGCAAGTTTTTCTCCCACTCGCCAGATCCCAAATAAGTACTCTGAGGCTTAATATTAATTACAAACTGTTTGGCCTATCAGCTCAGGCTTATTATTAACTAGCTCTTACAACTTAAATTAACCCATTTCTACCATTCTATGTTTTACCACGAGGCTTGTGGCTTGTTACCGCACATCTTGCTTTTTGGGTGGCTGCAGGTGTCTCCCTGACTCTGCCTTCTTTCTCTCCATATCTCTGTTTGGATTTCCAGCCTGACTCTAATCTGCCTGGTCATTGACCAAATCAGTTTCTTTCTAACCAGTACTAATAAGATATAGTGGCAGCATACATAGGGGCATTCTGAATCAGTTGCTGAGTGTTCTGATGTGATTGGGTGGCCATGCTATGGTCTGTGGGAGCAAGGCTACTGCAGCTGCCCGGGGTTGGTAAGAATGACAGCTCTTGGCTGTTTCACTCCTCCACGAACCCTCAGTGAAAGGGAGGGAATTTGCCAAGAGGCTTGCCAGTGCCAGCCAGCCAGCTCAGTAGAGCATTATTTCACCGTCTGCACTTTCGAGGGACTCTGGAATGTCTGTCCTCTTGGCATTATCTCAACCAGGATTTTAAAAATGCATTTATTGTTTGTCAGAGACTGAGTCTCATGTAGCTCAGAATGGCCCCAAACTATGGTGTAACCTAGACATACTGTGAACGGTTGAACCTCCTGCCAGGTCTCCCAAATGCCAGGATTGCAGCTGTGTGTCAACACACCTAGCTTTCAACCACTAGTCTTTAGATTTTTAAAAATTACATTTATTTAGTGTGAGTGTGTGTGTTTCTCTCTGTGTGCCTCTCTCTGTCTCTGTGTGTGTGCGAGTGTGTGTGGGAGTGTATGTCTGTCTGCCTCTCTCTCTGTCTCTCTGTGTGTGTCTGTGTGTCTGTCTGTGTGTGTGTGTGTCTGCCTCTCTCTATCTCTGTGTGTGAGTGTGTGTATCTGTCTGCCTCTGTGTGTGTGTGTGTGTCTGTCTGCTTCTTTCTGTGTGTGTCTGTGTGTCTGTCTGTGTGTGTGTGTCTATCTGCCTCTCTCTATCTCTGTGTGTGAGTGTGTGTATCTGTCTGCCTCTGTGTGTGTGTGTGTGTGTGTGTGTGTGTGTGTGTGTGTATATCTGTCTGCCTCTCTCTCTGGCTCTGTGTGTGTGTCCTCTATGGAATTTGTGGAGGACAACTTGCAGGAATCATATCTCTCCTTCCATCATGTAGGTCTTGGGGACTGAACTCATGTCTTCAGGCTTAGCAGCAGGAGGCTTCATCAATAAGATGTCTTAATGGCTCTCAACCAGTATTTAAGGAAGAAACAAAGCATTTTGTAAACACCACAGGCAGGAGCACCACCCCAAACAGCAATTCAAGTTTCAGTGTGTGTCCCTGAACTCTTTTCAGGACTGCATGCGTTTGAAGCCACTGAGATGAAAACAAACCAAGTGTAATAAACAGGATAAAAATAAACCCTTGGTGCTGGCACGGAGTGTATTGAACATGGAACATCTGGATGGAAGAAGAGTAGAGCTGAATTCCAAGGCCGGGAATGTCACTGGGCTGCGAGACTCTGAAAGGGTGTTAGCCCCAGATTTATACAGCCACTACATGATTTCTTCCAAATAGTGTAAATAAAAAGTAAACCAAAAAACTGAAGACCTTGATTTAAAAAAACATTTATTATGAGTAAAGATTCAGTTTATTTGGGTGCTAGGTAACTACAAAAGCTAATCTGCTCTATTTTCATTTCCTCAGGTGGTCTTGTTATTTTAAATTATAAAACATTATTCTACTAGCAATATATATATATATATATATATATATATATATGTAGTGGGTTATAAAACTATGCCCAGTGGAACTTACAGTGTAACCCTGATTTCCCACAGTGACCTGGCTTCTTCCATCTCCCACCATGTATGAGGCACTTGTGTTCATTGTGTTTTCACAGAAACTGCTGGAACTGTTGATCCTCTCTCTCTTCTGATATGGGGCCCAGGAGACTCTGTATAAGAGTCTAACTCCTTAATATGACTGCCAACTTCCCCATTTGACCTTTGCCTGCCCCCTGCCCTCCTGCCCCTTGCTCCCTCTCCCATCCCCCTGCTCCCCCCCTCCCCCCGCACTTCTGCTCTCTGTGTTGTGATGCTGGGGCCCTTCCAGGTCTCTGAAAGCTGGGTGAATTCTCCTGGTCTTACAAGCTTGGCTTATGCCTAGAACACAGTCTGTGTCCCTTTTCTTAGTGCACCAACCATACCCGGCGCTGTTGGTTAGTCACTATAACATTTAGCACCCTAACAGTCTCCAGCCTAAAATTAAATTCAGGATGTGAGGCTTACGACAGACTCCCCCAGCTCTGCCAAGTCTGCGAATGGAGCACCTTTCCTCTGGTGCCAGCATGGGAGAGCTGGGCCTCCCCTCAGCTCCACACCACTTCCTCTAAGGGGTGTGGTCAAAGCAGGAGGGCCGTCTTCAAACAGAAGGGGTTGTTTTGCTGGGTGTTGTGATGGCTGTTCTAATGTCAGCTTGGGAAATAGCTATGTTAGTTACGGTGCCCAGCATCTTTCGCTGGGCTTTAAGTAGCATGCATGCATTTGTTTATTGCTTTCTGCTTTTTGATGTGGGTGTGAAGTGAGCAGCTGCTTCAAAGCCCTGCTGCCTGAACTTCCCCACTGTGCTGGACTGTACCTTGAACTCCGAGCCAAAATACACCTTAAATTGTTTTGTTTTTTTAATCAGGGTGCTTTATCACAGTGAGACAGAAAAATTAAGATGGAGGCAGATACTGGAAGTGAGGCCGTTACTGCATGTCCAGCCTTTGGAGCTGTTTTGTAGAGGAGGGTGGGCGAGCTTGGGTCTTTGGTCTAGAAAAGCCACTGAATGCTGTGAGCAGAGGTTGATGGGCAGTTCTGGTGGAGCTCAGAAGATAAGAGCACTGGGAGAAATGTGGATGGAGGTTTCAGAAAACAAGGATTATATCCGGAATTAACTAGGGGCCATAAACAGACTTTTGCCAAGAATTTGTTTTTATTTTGTTCCTGTCCTAAGAGCCTGAAGTGAGGTAAATCAACAAATAATGGGCTAATTTGTTAGTCCGCAGAAAACAGGACAGGAGAGCCTCTGTGCTGGAGCTGAGAAGAGCCAGCTCAGCCAACTCGCTGTTAAAGATCGGAATCATGATAAGCCTCCTGCTACACCACACTGGGGAGATAGGGAAGGAGGCTGGGGTGGGTTTAAAGCCATTTGAATACAGCCTAAGCTGAAGGGGTTCCCTGCTCCTCAGAAGCAACTGCCCAAGCAAGGGTTTTCCCAGCGCCAGCACCCTGAGCCGGTGGGAGAGCTTGTTGGCAGCATCTATGTGATTGCTGGTTATGAAGACGCGGAGGATGAAAGACTGAGAGGGTCATGGAGTGCAGCAGAGCCCAGGTACTGTGTGGCAGGATTGGTGTCCATGCAGAAAGCCCCTGAGGATCACAGCCCCGACCCCTGACAGGATCCATGTGCTGTGGGCAGCAGAGCTGGAGGGTGGTGCTTCTGAGACTGCCAGAGCTCATCTGATTGCATTATGAGCCTAAATCAACTTTTCCCCTTAAACAGGCAGAGAACGGGAGTTCCCTTCTTCCATGTCCCTTCCATAGGCTGCCACCAGAAGGTGTAGCCCAGGTTAAAGTGCATCTTTTCACCTCAAAATAACTGGATTAAGTATGGGTCTTTCCACTTGGAATGGTTTAGTTAAGAAAAATGCCTCACAGGTGTACCCAGCCACTTGGGTTTTAGTTAATTCCAGATGTAGACAAGTTGGCAAACAACCAAGAATAAGCATCACAGCAGGAAATTGCCAAGAGACTTCATCCCCCTGGCAGTATTGGATGCTTGCCAACTGTTTCCCAAGTGTAACGCCCCAGACGTGGGGTTCTTACGGAGTTCTGGATTTCCTTCAAGTGTCTAAGGGAGTGAGTTAAGTACATTCACTCACGACAGCTGGATTCCAGTTTTTAGACACAGGGCCCAGTTGAAAACAACGTATGCTTCAGCCACCACTACGTCACCTCTGGGACTGTTAGCACCCCAGTCTTCTTGTTCCTTTCACATGAGGTGGCATCATGTTAGCCCCGTCATTGCCTTGAGCAACAGTGACAGCATCTTTGTTCCATGGCTTTCTTGATGGAAGAGAATGGCAGTCTTAAGGACAATACCTTTCCCAGGTTACTTTGAAGCAGAAGGAACCCCTGGGTCGTCCCCTTTGAGCTCTGGGCCTCCAGTCTCTGCTTTAGAGGCAGCGTCTCACTCTGCTTCCACTCTTTAGAGGGAAGGACCTGGCATGAAGCTGCTCTGCCTGCCCGGGTTCTTCTCCATTTCCTGGTGTCCTCAAGGGTTCAGACCACAGAATGCCTGGCACCTTACAGCCTTCCGCCAGTCCCTGTGGTAGGCAGACATGGCCTGGAAGTCCTCCTTGATCAACCCGTGACAGCCGATTCCAATGAGGCATTCTCTCCCCCTGGTGGCCCCAGGCATCTCCCAGCAGTCAGGGTCTGAGATGAAGATTTACCTTGAGAGTTCCTTTTATCTGGAACTACTGGGCTTGGGAACTGTCGATAGAAGCCTTTCCCTTGTCTGCTGCTTGGTTTTTCCCCACCAGTTGCCTGGGCTCTGCCGTGTTGTAGTCCCCAAATAACACACAAGGCACTATATTAATTTTGAAGCTGTTGGCCTTGCTTGTTTCTTACTGGCTATCTCTGACTTAAGTATTTATCCCATAATTGTTAATCTAAGTATTTCTCTTACCGGACAGACCTCTTATTTCTCTGGCGGACTACATGATGACTCTCTGTGTTTCTCTTTCCCAGAGTCCACCTATCTTGCTTCCCTATTGGCCAACAATGCTTTATTGGCATATACACAGGACTTCCCCAACAGGGAACCTCACCTCATACCTTCTCTTGAATTCCACAGAAACCAGGGTGAAATGGCCCACACCTGCCGTGGAACCATCAACCTGGCCTCCGCACACATCGACACAGAGGACTCTTGTGGAATCTTGCTGTGCAATGGGGCAAGGACCTACCACCTCAAGGCCGGTTCAGAGGTGGACCGGCAGCAGTGGATCACCGTTCTGGAGCTGGCCAAGGCCAAGGCCATCCGTGTGATGAAAACTCAGTCAGGTAGTGGCTACTCAGCACAGGGGGTGTGTATGAGTGACGTCACGGTGTCCCTTTAGGGGAAGTGGGATCCAGAAACAGTGGGGAGCAGCAATGATTGGGAAACCCAAGGGAGTCTTGTCTGAAGACCCAAGGCCTGTGTGTGCCCATCCCACTTGGTTGGGTGTGCCCTCGGCAGTGAGGGAGCTGTTCTGCCAAGGTGTTTGTGGGTAGCTGGCAGTCCTGGGGATGGAAACGTTGCAGTGCCTGGGACTATGTGCACCTTATTTTGAATAAGAATGGTTATGAGGACTTTGTAGATGCTTCAGATATTGAGGTAATCCAGGCCCAGAAGCAGTGGTATTGGGTGGGGGTCCAGGATGGTGTACCTATGCCTCAGACTCGATTTTCCCCCAGTTTACATTGTGAGTACCCAGGACAGTTTCCCACTCTAGCTTGGCCAGGCAGGACGTCAACTCCGATAGTCAGAATATATTTTGCCTTCTTAAATTAATTTTTAAATATATAGTGTCTTATATGATTTATAACCTAATAGTTCTAAAACCCTGTGAGTAAAACCCATGTTTTATTCCTGCCCAGAGCTGCCTAACTTGGTCTCTTACTGGAGGCATCAGAGGTGCCAGAGGCGGTCAGTGTCACAGTATGCCCTGTAGGTACCCTTTTAGATTGCAACACCCACTGCCTTTCCCATTTAACTACTTATGCTAAATGATTCCTGTTGGTACACAAGGTATTGCCTCTGTCTTTGCAATATGGTTTTTTATTGTATGGAGGCACCATTCCTGTTGTCTGTGGATGAGCTGTTAGACTGTTTGTTTAAGATTTATTTATTTTATGGGTATGAGTGTTTTGTCTACATATGTCTATTCCTATACATTGTGTGTGTGTGTTTCTCTCAGCATCCAGAAGAGGGCACCAGATCCTCTGGGACTGGAGTCATGGGCAACTGTAAGCCTTTATGTGGGTGCTAGAAATCGAATCCAGGTCCCCCGAAAGAGCAGCAATTGCTCTTGACTTCTGAGCCATGTCTCTAGCCTGAGGCTGTTTTCTGTGACGCGCAGTAGTCCAGGGAGTGGCCTGCAGGTGTTTTATTTCAAGCATGAATATGTACAGATTTGGCACAGCAGGAGGAGGCTACTGGGGCCATTTAATGCAAGGGCTGTGTTAGATTAGTTAAGACCGCTGTAGGGAGATGGAGAGAGGAAAGAAAGAGAGGCTCTGTAGTCTGACTGCATGCAGCAAGGTGACACTTTTGTCAGCCATATGTGCAGAGGGCCAAAGTGCCTCCAGAAGAAGACAGGGTGCAGCCCTTCCTTTACAAGGGTGGAGATGACTTCCATAGTCTGCAAGGGAAGCTGGGAAGTATATTCTTCAGCAGGAAACATTCAGGCCGTGCAGAGCCGTGATGACCCAGGTGTCTGTAATTGCCTGTGGAAAGTCACTGTGGTGAAAGATGGGGTTGGGCTCAGATCAGCCATGCAGTCCAAGTAAGGCAACCTGTGGCTCATGGAGGAACTTGCTTTCTCTTTTCTGTGAATGCATGACAATAGCTTCATTCTTCCTGGAAACTTCTAAAATTGGTATATAGACAATATTTACAAGATTAACTATTTACATTGATCTACTTACATAGTGTGTGTGTGTGTGTACATGTGTGTGGTGTTTATGTAGGTACATGAGTGTGTGTACATGAGTGTGTGTACATGTGTGTGTACGTGTGTGTTGTTTATGTAGGTACATGAGTGTCACTGTGTGCATGTGGGTTCATCTTGTGGGTTCCCAGGATGGAAGGGACTCAGTTAAAAGCTCAGTTAAAGTCCTATTGCCTGCTGAGTCTATGGGGACATTCTCCCTCAAACCAGCACATTCCACTCCTTGGCCCCTGTAAACATGTAGCCATATCACAATGCAAAATCTGCTTAGTCTGACTTAAAAGTCCCCATAGTTTTTCACAGTCTCTACATTGTTTAAAAGTCCAAAATCTCTTCTAAGACTCAAAACAAGCTCTTAATTGTAACCCCCTGTAAAATAAAAAAAAAAAAGTAAATTACATGCTTCAACATACAATGCCATAGAATATACATTACCATTCTAAATGGGAAGAATGGGGACATAGAAAGTGTCTTAGTTAGGGTTTCTATTGCAGCAGTGAAACACCATGATCAAAAAACAAGTTGGAGAGGAAAGGGTTTATTTGACTTATACTTCCAGATCATAGTCCATCACTGAAGGAAGTCAGGACAGGAACTCAAGCAGGGCTGGAACCTGGAACCAGGAGCAGATGCAGAGGCCGTGGAGGGTGCTGCTCACTGGCTTACTTCCCCTGGCTTGCTCAGCCTGCTCTCTATAGAACCCAGGACCACCAGTGCAGGGATGCAACCACCCACCATGGACTGGGCCCTAGCCCATCTATCACTAAATGGGAAAAGGCCTTACAGCTGGATCTCAAGGGGCCTTTCCTCAACTGAGGCTCCTTCCTCTCTGGTGACTCTAGCTTGTGTCCAGTTGACACAAAACCAGTCACTACACAAAGCAAGACCAAACCCAGCAGGGCAGACTCCAAATGCTGTAGCTCCATGTCTGATGCCCCGGGCTCAGATGGCTCTGCCCTTAGAGCTTTGCTGTCTGCCACACGCTTCTCTCCCAGGCTGGTCCTACTCCCTCTGCGCAGCTTTCCTCGGCAGACATAGCAGGGCTCTGTCACCTCTCGTGTCTTGGGGTCGCCAGTGCAGCCCAGGCTTCACTTCCATAGCCTCCCACATTGAGCATGAGTGCTCCAGGCTTTCACACAGGTGCTCCTCTGACACACCTGTCCTCAGTGACTTTCCCCAGAGGAAGATTCCAGAGTCCTTCATGACGCCAAGGCTAGGTTCACATGGCCAGTGCTGACAGGCCAGCTGCGTGCTTGGGCTGGAGACTGCCTTGAATTACATTTGAGTAAACTTTAACTTGATGTATTTTTAGGACCAGATAATCCCTGAGGCCTTTTCTTTTTACAAGTGGAAGTTTAGCTGGATGGGGTCTTGCCCCGAGGGCAACACCCCTTCATTTCAGTGTAGATCAGGCCTCTCCTCACCTCTTTCAGCACAAGCCTTGGCTCCAGCATTAAATTTCCTGCTGCTCCTTTTTTTCTTAAACCACAGTTTGTATTTGTTTTTGCCCGTTTTTCGTTTTCTATCTGCTTAAGAATAGTGTGTCAGAATCAATATAAGCTGTCTTGCCATCTTCACTGTCAATATCATTAGTCCCAAACTCTCCAACTTAGCCTCAGGCAGATTCTTTTGTTTTTTACCTTTGTTTTCAAATTTATTTTTATTTATTCCTCGAGTCTTTCACATCATGTATCTCCATCCCATGCATTTCCCCATCCCTTCATGTCTGCCCTCTGCCCTTGCAACCTCCCCCAAATAAAATAAAGTCTAAGAGGAAAAAATAAGAAAAAAGGAAGAAGAGAAAGAGAAGGAAAAAATCACCCTTGCCATGGAAGCTGCAGTGAGACACAGTGGGTCATGCAGTAAACCCTTTTATCCACACATCTTTACTAGCAAGTCTTCATTGCGATCGAGTCATTGGTCTGGTTCTGTTGTGCCCAAATTCTGAACCCCACTGTTACCCTAAAGCACGCCCAGAGCCCACCAGCTCACTTCTGACTGGTTCCTTGCCACATGGAGGGAATCTGACCTCCTAGTGACTGGGGCAGGTCACTAGAGGGCCACAACTCAGCGACCAGTGCTGAGTCAGAGGACTGCATCTTGCTGGGCCTTTTCTGCAGCCAGGACATGGGGATGAGGGCCGGTGAGGGTGCGGACCCAGTTTCTATGGTGCAAAGGGAACCAGGGCTGAGGGGAGTGAAGCTGGTTTCTGCTCAGCCTGAGAGACAAAGCAGAGCACACAAGATGTGTGAGCCCCAGGACACAGAGAGGGGAATCCTGCCTCTGGTCCCTTCCTGTTCCTTTCTTTGCTTCCCATCTGCCATGAGTTGAAGAAGCTCCTCTGCTACAAACTCTCATCACTGTGATGCTCTGTCCAACTTCAGGAGGCCAAGCAGCCATGGGCCACCTGCAAGAAAAGCAACTAATACAGACATGTCACTGGTGGCTGCAAGGGCTCAGCCAGGATCGTCCTGGCAGCCAGGGCATACCTCTTGAGGAAATGAGTGTCAGTCAAGGAACAGCTGGCTGATGGGGAGAGTGGGTTTTCCAGCTGTGGGTCTTCTCCAGTCAGGACCAGCTGTTGAGCAGGAGTTGCCTGGACCCCCCACATTTCCATGACATCGGATGTCTCTGCACACTGAAGGCAACTGTCCATTTGGGCACCTGAAATTTACCCCTATGGACTTCTCCATTTTGTAATTGTGCCTTGGACTTGCCAGCTGCCCACAGGCTGCGGGAAAAGTCAGTCTCTGCTCTGCGGTCATTCTGATTACGTTAGAAGTCCCAGCTGACCCCCTTGCTCAGCGATCTCACACTTTAGACATTTTCTCAGCAGGAATGAGCAACATACAAATGCACAGACCCACATTGAGCTACATGGCACAATGAGGTCATGGCAGGGGTTGGAGCAAAGGGCTGTGGATATGATCCGGAACCAGGGACGTCAAGGGCAGTTGACAGACACCAGCCTGGCGAGGACATAAGACTCAGGCCTTTGGCCAGGGGAATGACGGACAGGACAGCTGGGCAGGATCAGTGGTGAGAACACGGAAGCCACTGTCCTTCCCAGGAGGCCCCACTATTTTCAGTGGGCATTCCCTCCTCCACAACCCGTACCAACGTGACCTCTTTCTCCCGGAGTTTTACATCTGATTGTTTGAATGCAGGTTGAAAAGTAGGTTTGAGTAATGGCTACCCCTGGGCTGTACTTAGGAAAGGAAGATATGCCTGTAGCCTGCAGTGGGGACTTGTTATAATCAGGGTTTGGAAGCAGAGAGGCAGCTGGTCCTGTAAATCTCATGACTCAATGGTCCTTCTTCCTCCTGTGTATATATTGCTTCTGCTTTGCTT